CAACGGTGGGGGGGTGGGGGGGGGGGGAAGTCGGGGTGATGGTGGGCGATTGGTGGGCGAGGGGGATGGAGATGGGGGGGGGGGATAGTGGATTGATTACGCGTGGGGGGTTGTGGAGGCGAGTTCGGCGTCGAGGCATTGGTGATGAGCACGGAGGACACTGAGGAGTGACTCGAGACGTGAAGCGACTCGGTGCTTGTCAGCAGCCATCTTGGCTTTGAGCGCGGTCTCGGTGGCAAGCTGGGTTTCGAGCTTGGCGTTGGTGGTGAGAAGGTTATGCAACGTAGCGGCGTCGGCAGCAGCAGGGCCGACCGACTGTTCGAGTGCAGCGATGCGGGCGTTCTTGGCAGCGAGCGTCCGCTGGAGGGCTGTGACCTGGGCCTGGGCCTTGTGACAGTCACGAAGTGCCGAGGCAAGGTCTGGAGAGCGGGCCTTGGCCTCGGTGTATGCGCTGTCGAGACGGGCTTTGGTCTCGGCGAGCTCGCTCTGGGCACGCGCCAGCTCCTTACGAGCGAGGGCGATGTCACCGCTGCGGTGTGCGTCGTCGGTCCGCAGCACGGCGAGCGTGGCCTCTAGCTCGGCGGTGCGGGCCGAGCTGGCATGCTCGGCCTCGCGAGCACGATTAATCTCAGCGGCCGCGGCCGATGCATCAGAGCGGGCGGCAGCAATCTGCGCCTCGAGCTTGGCAACATGGTCAGAGTGGGCGCCTTGGAGGCTAGAGAGCTGGGATCTGACGCTCGCGAGCTCGTCCTCGGCACCCTGGAGCTGGGTGTGGGCCCGCTCCAGCTCGCCTACAAGCGAAGCGCGGCCGGTGAGAGCTTGGTCCAGCTCGGTCTGCAGCTGCGCCACTCGATCATGACACGACTTGGCCTCGGCCGCAACGGTCGCGTGGTCTGCGCGTAGTTGCGCAAGCTCAGCTCGCAACGAAGACTCGGCTGTCTGCGCCTGCTCGAGCTCGGCCTGCAGCTGCTGCAGCTGCTGCTGCTGTGTGGCGGCCTTGGTCTCGAGCGTCACATACTCGGCTCGTGCCTGCGCCAGCTGCGTGGCGGCCTCGCCGCCGAGTGCGGCGTCAGCCCGTGCCTGCTCGAGCTCGGCCTGCAGCGAAGCCTGGTCGGTGTGCGCCTGCTCGAGCTCGGCCTGCAGCGAAGACTGGTCGGTGTGCGCCTGCTCGAGCTCGGCCTGCAGCTGCTGCATCTGCTGCTGCTGGGCGGCGGCCTTGGTCTCGAGCGTCACATACTCGGCCCGTGCCTGCGCCAGCTGCGTGGCGGCCTCGCCGCCGAGTGCGGCGTCAGCCCGTGCCTGCTCGAGCTCGGCCTGCAGCGAAGCCTGGTCGGTGTGCGCCTGCTCGAGCTCGGCCTGCAGCGAAGACTGGTCGGTGTGCGCCTGCTCGAGCTCGGCCTGCAGCTGCTGCATCTGCTGCTGCTGAGCGGCGGCCTTGGTCTCGAGCGTCACATACTCGGCCCTTGCCTGCGCCAGCTGCGTGGCGGCCTCACCGCCGAGTGCGGCGTCAGCCCGTGCCTGCTCGAGCGCGGCCTGAAGCGAAGCCTGGTCGGTGTGCGCCTGCTCGAGCTCGGCCTGCAGCTGCTGCATCTGCTGCTGCTGGGCGGCGGCCTTGGTCTCGAGCGTCACATACTCGGCTCGTGCCTGCGCCAGCTGCGTGGCGGCCTCGCCGCCGAGTGCGGCGTCAGCCCGTGCCTGCTCGAGCTCGGCCTGAAGCGAAGCCTGGTCGGTGTGCGCCTGCTCGAGCTCGGCCTGCAGCTGCTGCATCTGCTGCTGCTGGGCGGCGGCCTTGGTCTCGAGCGTCACACACTCGGCCCGTGCCTGCTCGAGCTCAGCCTGGAGCTCCTTCATCCGAGTTACCTGTACCTGAAGCTTGACGCGAGCCTCTTCTTGCATTGCAGTCATTGATGACTCTTGCAAGTTGAGCTTGTCTTGCAAGCTCTTCATGCTCTTGGCTTGTGTCTCCAGCTTGGTAGTTGCTTCGGCATGCATTGCCTGCATTCGAGACGTACCACTGTCAACATCAGCGCGAGCCTGGATCAAGTCGGCCCGTGCCTGCTCCAGCTCAGTCTGCAGCGACGTATACTCGGTCCGCAGCTGCGAGAGCTGCGCTGCCGCCTCACCACCGCTGGCAGCATCCGCCCGCGCCTGCTCCAGCTCAGTCTGCAGCGACGTATACTCGGTCCGCAGCTGCGAGAGCTGCGCTGCCGCCTCGCCACCGCTGGCAGCATCCGCCCGCGCCTGCTCCAGCTCAGTCTGCAGCGACGTACTCTCGGCCCGCGCCTGCTCCAGCTCAGTCTGCAGCGACGTATACTCGGTCTGCAGCTGCGAGAGCTGCGCTGCCGCCTCGCCACCGCTGGCAGCATCCGCTCGCGCCTGCTCCAGCTCAGCCTCCAGCGACGCACTCTCGGCCCGCGCCTGCTCCAACTCAGTCTGCAGCGACGTATACTCGGTCTGCAGCTGCGAGAGCTGCGCTGCCGCCTCGCCACCACTGGCAGCATCCGCTCGCGCCTGCTCCAGCTCAGCCTCCAGCGACGCACTCTCGGCCCGCGCCTGCTCCAACTCAGTCTGCAGCGACGTATACTCGGTCCGCAGCTGCGAGAGCTGCGCTGCCGCCTCGCCACCACTGGCAGCATCCGCTCGCGCCTGCTCCAGCTCAGTCTGCAGCGACATATACTCGGTCCGCAGCTGTGAGAGCTGCGCTGCAGTCTGCAGCGACGTACTCTCGGCCCGCGCCTGCTCCAATTCAGTCTGCAGCGACGTATACTCGGTCCGCAGCTGCGAGAGCTGCGCTGCCGCCTCGCCACCACTGGCAGCATCCGCCCGCGCCTGCTCCAGCTCAGTCTGCAGCGACGTATACTCGGTCCGCAGCTGCGAGAGCTGCGCTGCCGCCTCGCCACCGCTGGCAGCATCCGCCCGCGCCTGCTCCAGTTCAGTCTGCAGCGACGTACTCTCGGCCCGCGCCTGCTCCAATTCAGTCTGCAGCGACGTATACTCGGTCCGCAGCTGCGAGAGCTGCGCTGCCGCCTCGCCACCGCTGGCAGCATCCGCCCGCGCCTGCTCCAGCTCAGTCTGCAGCGACATATACTCGGTCCGCAGCTGCGAGAGCTGCGCTGCCGCCTCGCCACCACTGGCAGCATCCACTCGCGCCTGCTCCAGCTCAGTCTGCAGCGACGTATACTCGGTCCGCAGCTGCGAGAGCTGCGCTGCCGCCTCGCCACCACTGGCAGCATCCGCTCGCGCCTGCTCCAGCTCAGTCTGCAGCGACGTATACTCGGTCCGCAGCTGCGAGAGCTGCGCTGCCGCCTCGCCACCACTGGCAGCATCCGCTCGCGCCTGCACCAGCTCAGTCTGCAGCGACATATACTCGGTCCGCAGCTGCGAGAGCTGCGCTGCCGCCTCGCCACCGCTGGCAGCATCCGCCCGCGCCTGCTCCAGTTCAGTCTGCAGCGACGTACTCTCGGCCCGCGCCTGCTCCAATTCAGTCTGCAGCGACGTATACTCGGTCCGCAGCTGCGAGAGCTGCGCTGCCGCCTCGCCACCGCTGGCAGCATCCGCCCGCGCCTGCTCCAGCTCAGCCTCCAGCGACGCACTCTCGGCCCGCGCCTGCTCCAGTTCGACCTGCTGCTGCTGCGACTGTGCCTGCGACTCGAGCTTGCGCGTCGCGAGCTGAGCGTTGAGCGACTGCACATTGAGATCCATCTCCATGCTCATCGCCTTCATCTCGGCTGCCTCCTGCTCGGCAGCAGTCGCGCGCTGTGCTGCATCGGCAGCTGTTTGCTCGGCAGCTGCAAGCTCGCTCCAAGGCGCGCCACAATGCCACGCAGCTCGTCAGTCTGACCTCCGGTCTGCGCCTGGACTTGTGCTAGCTCGGCCTGTGACTCACCGAGCGCCTGTGCTGCCTGCTCCTTGACTTGCTTGGTCTCGGCCTGCGCAGCAGCAGCTTGGGCCTTGCTACGCGCCAGCTCGCCGCGCACTGCCGCCAGCTCGTTCTTCAGCTGGTTGATCTGCACCTCCCGCTGGCCGACTACCATCCGGCTTGACGCCAGCTCGGTCTCCAACTCGTCGACAACCTTACGAAGCCCCGGCTCGCTCCCAGAGGTCCTTGTGATGACCGCGATCGGCCGGACCGGCGCGTCAGCTACCTTGCGGAGCTCAACCACGTCATCATTAACCATCCGTGCCTCGACCCCGATCTCTCCCGGAACGACCACCCCGACGCATCCGCTGCACTCTCGGTAGCTGTGCTCCCTCCCTCCACCTCGCCGCTAGCATCGGCTTGCTTGCTTGCCTTTGACCGCTTCTTCCGCCCGCTTCCCTTGCCCTTGCGAGCGCGCATGGCAGCAAACTGTGGTCATCACCGCGTCCATCACCGCCACCGCACCACCCACATCCACGTCCGCCATGCGCCCAATGCCCGCCAAATCACCCAAATTAAGTTCAAAGTCACAAAGTGCCCAACAGCCCCTCCTTCCCCATCCCTTTCCCCGCCACCAAGTCCACTACCCCGCCCAGCTATCGCCATCCCCCCTTCCCCCTCCCCTCCACTTCGGCCTCGGCCTCCTCCTCGCGCGCCATTTCCCCCTCCGCATTGCGGCGAGTCGCACAAAGTCGCTGCCACCTGGAAGGGATGCAGTTGGTGGGCAAGCAGAGACACAGTGGGCATGGGGACATACCTTGGCCTTGCCCTCGGCAAGCTTCCGCTGCCGCTCCTCGTCGTCCATGGTGCTTGCCAGTGCCAAGAGCAGTGCTGAAAGACTCCTCCCATCGCAGGCGACACGAATGGCAAATGGCCGGGGGAGGGGGGGGGGGGGGGGAGTGGGGGGGAGGTCGACGGTGTGGGGAAGGCTACAGTGGCTTGTATCATCAGCAGATAAATTTGATTTTCTCAGGTTTTGTTCTTCAGTATGTGATGTAGCTGCCCTGTTGAGTTCAAGAGCTGGATGAGGTTGTGCTCGTTGTTGAGCGTCTCGTAGATAGAGCACATCCATCGTAACTCGCTTGCACCGTGATCAGCCGTTCTGGCCCATATCGATCGCAGCCACAATCTCTGTCTGACGACATCGAACTAAAGATCTTGAACTGAACATCTTGCACTGATTGTCTCTCCCTCCCTCCCCCGCCCTCAAGTATATCCATTGTGATCGAGGTGGGGGGGGGGGGGGGGGGGGGGGTTGGGGGGGGGCGCGGCATGTCACACATGAACCGCGTTTGTGACGACAGTGCCACCAACCTGAGGCCACTCCCTCGTCCACCACCGAACCAGGCAAGGGAGGACGGGAGGGAGGTGACAGTCCCAGCCACTTGACCCACGTCCTCCCCTCCTCCCCCCTCCCCCTCTACATACTTCCTTGACCCATTACACCTGAGGGGAGCCGCCCCATACTCTTCGTTTTTGGTCATGTTCAAGTCGACCGAGACCAAGCTCGTCCACTCGGCCACAGCTGACAATGACGACCCGACGCCTGGCTATGTCTTCAAGGAACTGATTCGTACGTAGGGAGAGGGGAAGAAGGTGGGGGGTGGGGGGTGGGGGGTGTGAGAGAAGCAAATTTTAGTGGTGGTGGGGGTGGCGAAAATTGGGGAAGGGGGGACTAACGATGGGCTTGGGTATGGGCATGGGCATGGTTGGTGGTGCGGTCGGCGGACATGGCTTCCGACACGGACACGGACATGGCTTCCGACACGGCCCATGCCCACAAAATCATTCACTTTGCAGAGGCCTCGCTCAAGTCGTCCGAGACATGCATCAAGCTTGTGGACGATCTGTACAAGCGGCTGGAGAAGCCGTCGCCGTACGTCAAGGCCAAGGTTCTACGCATCTGCAAGCACGTCGCCTCGTCGGGCAGCCCGCTGTTCAAGGCCGAGCTGCAGCGCCGATCGAGCCCGCTGCGCGACGCCGCTGAGTTCCGCGGCCCGCCACATCCCGTCCATGGCGACGCTCTCTCGGCTGCCGTCCGCACAGGCGCTGCCGAGCTGCTCGCCGTCATCTACGACTCATCCACAGTTCGCACTGCCGCCGCGCCCGTCCCGGCCTCGCGGATCACAGGCTTCTCCTCGGGCTACACGCCGGGCGCAGAGGTGTCACCCAGCACAGGCTTGACCTACGGCGGGTCCGGCGGGACTGGTGGGGCCGGAGACGGGCTTGGTCCGCGAGGCGCGCCAGGCCAGGTCAACGTCTCGGCGACCGGTATGGTCGGCTTTGGCAACACGGCATACTCGTCGTCGAATGCGGGCGCGGGCGCGGGCAGCGGGAAAAAGTCTGGCGGCTTCAAGCAGAAGATGATGAACAAGGTCAACGTGGCTCGCCAGAAGATGGCCACCGCGTACAACAACCGGACGGGCGAGCAGTCGTTTGTCGGTGAGTCGGCGGGAGCGCGCTCATCGTACTCGGCCGGTGCCGGCCCTGCCCCGGGTGCCGGCGGCTACTCCTCGGCGTACATGTATCGCGGCTCGGGCGGCGCCGTCGGCCCGGCCACAGGCGGCTACCATTCGGGCGCGGCCGCTTTTGCTGGCTCCGGCTCGAGCTCGGCCTCGACCGGCAGCACCGCGGGCTACGTGGCTCCGGCTGGCGAGTACGAGACCCGTCTCGTCGACGACATCACCGCCGCCGGCGGCGCGAGAGTCTTGCCCACACGTGCCGCCCTCGACGCCTTTGTCGGCCGTGCTGCTTCACTCGACACCACCGTCATCTGCAGCAAGCTCGCCGCCAAGCTCGGCAAGGGCGTGCCGTTCAAGACCAAGGCCAAGGCCCTGGCCGTAATGGAGGCTCTGCTGCGCGCCGGCCTCCCTGTCTCTTCTCCGCTCACCACACACATCGACGCCATCAACGGCGCGCGGGCCTCGGTCCAAAACACTGTCAAGGACAAGGCTGCCGTCGTCCTCGCCCTTCTCGGCGCCGGCGCAGCATCGACACCGTCACCGTCGGTACCCGTCGCCACCACGCCCGCACCCGCATCCGCACCGCCACAGCACGCCGCGTCCCCTCTGATCTCGCTCTCGCCGTCGGACCTGTTTGCCGGCGTCCAGCCCAAGTCCCAGTCTGCAGCACAGGAAGTGCCTGCCGCTGCGCCGTCGCCATCGTCTCTCTTTGACGGCATGACTGTGGCGCCTGCTGGAGCCGCTACCGCACCGCCTGCCGCAACTTCGCCCCCACTGCATCGCCTTCGTCCCTCTTTGACGGCATGACCGTTGTGGCCGGCGGCCCTCGGCGCGAGTCGTCCGGCCGGCGGCGGCGGACCAAGCAGTCGTCGACGTCCCCCAAGCAGACCTCCCCGCCCCCCGCTGAGCAGCCCGCACAGCCCGCACAGCCATCACCATCGTCGCTCCTGCTCGAAGTCAACATGCCAGGCAAGGTCGAGCTCGACCCTTTTGCGCCCAACCGCAGCAACTCGGGCGGGATTGGCTCGTCGTCGCTCGACGACCTCACTGCTGCGTTTGGAGGCATTCCGCCGTTGTCGGCAGGCGGTGGCGGCGGCGCGAAGCCGCAGAGCCACGATCCAGACGCTGGGATGAAGGCTGTGCTGGCGGCGCAGGAGGCGCACGCCCGGTCGATGCAGGCCGCGGCGCCGCCGCCGGGCGCCCGGGTGGTGTACGTCGATGGACAGCCGATGATGATGGTGCCGATGGCGGCCGGCGGGGCTGCTCCGGCGGCATCGCCTAGTGCGAGCGTGACCAGCGGAACGAGCACCAGCTCGCTGCTCGACGCCTTTGCGGGCTTGTCTGCTGGAAGCGTGTCTGCCGGTGGCGCGGCGCCGCTGACGCCTCTTGGCGCAGGCGCGGGCACAGGCGCGAGCACGGGCGCGGGCGGGAGCAACGGCTCCTCGTTTGCGTTTATGAACAAGGGCGACGACGCGTTCTCCTTTGTCAACGACATTGTCGTGGAGACGGCGTCGAGCCAACGGAAGTAACATACATGGATCAATCGATGTTGCCCTTCTTCGAGAGCAGTGACGAGACAGTGGAGGCGGCAGCGGCAGCAGCGGCAGCGATGGGGGTGGACGAGCGCCCGCGCCGTGAGCGCCGGGCTTTTCTTCGCGTTTGGCCCGGGGTTGCCCGTCGGGCGACGAGCCAGCAGCGCGCTCGTTCTTGCTGTCCTGGCCTGGAGCGGCGGTAGCGGGCGAGACGAGCAGCGGGTTGGAGAGCTCGTCGTGATCAACGGCGGAGGCGGCGGCGGCGGTGGGGGCGTGATGATTGTGCAGACTCGGGGCCAGCAGCGGCTCCTCGTCCTCGGGGCGGTGGCGGCGGACGGCGGACGATGGCATGCGCGGGCCGGAGGAGGCAGCGCCGAGCTCTGCGTCTGAAAACTCGAGCTGGATGTCCTCAATCTTGTCGACGTGAGCATAGCGCAGGGCCCTTCGGCCGATGCGGGCGACGACAACAAAGATGACGATGGCAAAGGCGAGCTGGGCATACAGCGCGTAGCTCTGAGCCGGAGTGAGCGCATCGTGGCCGGCGGCAACGTCGGCGAGCGACTTGAGGGTGGAGCCAAAGTAGGCAAACATCAGCTGCTCGGGGACGAGGCCGACGATGGTGGCGGCGGTGTAGCGAGCAAAGGTGACGTTGGAGAGGGCAAAGGCGCCGTTCTGGAGACCAAAGGGCACGGGCGCGCATCGGAGGAGAGCGATGACGACAAAGCCCTGGGCATCGACAGCAGCAATAAAAGCCCGAAACTGCGGCGAGGTGCCCAGCTTTGCCGCCAACTTCCGTCGGGCAAAGCGGCGCGTGGCGGCAAAGGCGACCATGGCGCCGAGGACAGCACCGATCTCCGAGGTGAGCGCGCCGCCGATGACACCGTAGAGATAGCCCGATGCGAGAGTGAGCGGAGTGTATCCGGCGAGAAAAGGCAGCGATGCCGGGATGAAGGAGAGGGCAACCAAGGCGTTGCCCGCCATGCCCAGTGAGGCCAACCAGGTGAAGTACGGCGTGAGCCAGCCGGCGTACATGGCCACCAGGCCGAGGACCAGCACCACTGCATAGGCGGCCACAAACACCGCTGCCTGCACTCCCTGCCGGGTTACCCGCATGCTGGACGGTGGGGGATGGGGGGGGGGGTGGGGGGTGGGGGGATGGGGGAGGGTGGGGAGGGGTGGTGGTGGTGGTGGTGGTGGTGGTGGTGGTGGTGGTGGTGGTGGTGGTGGTGGTGGTGGTGGTGGTGGTGGTGTCGACCGGGTGGTGTCGACCGGGTGGTGTCG